GAAATAGAAATGGAAATGGATAGGCTGCGAAATAGAAGTCGTAATCGAAAAAGGCGACGAAATAGAATGGGTAAGCAAATGGAAAATGAAATAGAAATGGAAATGGAACGATTCTATCTTACAGAATTAGACCCCTGATTTTAGGAAAAGCTTAAGCTTTTGTGGTTTATATCCTGTTATACATATAATTCCTTAATTATCACTAACGTTTTCAAAATCTATATTTCCTATTTTGCAAAAGATGAAAGTTCATACCCATCAATTTAAATTTTATACCCAGCATCTAGAAAATTTGGAAACTGAAAATTTCTTCAATTTTATCCAGGCTGTTGGAATTGTTTCACATCGTCGGCTACGCGGCCAAATGGCCGATCTGGTAATTACCCCTGTGGGGAAAATGGCAAGTGGCCACTTTCCCCGTTGGGGAAAATGGCAGATGAGCCTTTTTTTAAATTTTACAGGAGAAGCAAAAAACTGATTATCTGCTCCAATTTTCAATGTTCAGATTTCAAAATTTGAACCAAAGTTCAGCATGTTATTGCAGATAATTTGGTAGATTTAATTTTCTTTTAAACCTTAATATACAACTGTTGTAAGAAATTTAAAGGGAAGTAACTCCACACTGAAAGAGTAAAACGTACAATAAATCGAAATTAAACCACTTATGCGATTATTTCCTGCTTTTCTTTGTTCAATTTAACTTAAAAATAATATTTTATAATATAATTTTATTTTAATTCATCTTTTTTTATAAAATTTTTTATTATTTTATTTTATTTAAATAAATTTAAATTTTATTCTTTTATTTGCACAATAGTAAACAATTTTGGCATTAAAAGCATTTTTTTCTTATTTCACATGACCCGGCGTCACTTCTAATTATAATCTCATGAATAGTTTTACTGATACTTACTATAAATTGCAATAATTAGTTAAGTAAAATCTAGCTCGGATACAACATAAAGCTTCTGGTTGCATGTCAAATATTTAATAAAAAAATCTATATTTTACTATTTATTTAATTTTAAAATTATATCTATTTTAAAGAATTATTTGCATTATCACGCAAAATGCATGAAAAAGCTGTCACTTTGGAATACAATATTGACGAAACTACAGCTTATTCTGATATTTTACTTCTTACTTAATGTTAGGTATTTTATTAAATTTATTAAAATTTTATTTTAATATTTTTTTATATTTTCGATATTTTCATTATTTTTAACATTTATTGCATTTAAAACAATTTTGGCATTATTCAGCAAGCGGGAATCCTGCATGCTTGCTGTGGAACTTGATAAGGGGGCGTGGCACTGCCTTACTTTTGCTCCCTGAACTCGCGATAATGAGACATCTACCGAGAAAGTTGATACTTTTATGGTTATTTCTGATGCAGATTATTACACTGAATGCATTGGAACAATAAAAAAAATTTGTCCGCAAATGCTCATCTGCCATTTTCCCCAACGGGGAAAGTGGCCACTAGCCATTTTCCCCACAGGGGTATTTACCAGATCGGCCATTTGGCCGCGTAGCCGACGACATACAAGTTCAAAATTATCATTGTTGTTTATTTGCCCAAATTTTTACATCACATTGTTTACATTTAATTGTTGAAACAATTTATTTGAAAAAAAAGGAATTGTTGGAAAAAACGGCACCACCGCTAGCAAGAATTTTGCTACAACTTCCAAGATAAAAAATTTATGCTGTTTTTGACTCGTATCTAAATTTCATCAATTCAAAAACCCAGAATGGTTGGTTGAAAAGAAAACTAATTTAATTTTGGTGCAAAACTTGTGGAAATCTTCAATAGGAATCTGTAGTTAAGTGCAGTCGCCCGCGTGAATAAATCTGATAAACGACTTCGCATTTGTAAAACGCATGTCGGGCCGTCAGACGAATTCGGGCATAAGTTTAACATTTTAAGAGGATTGGATTCCCGGGGCGCCTGGGGCAAAGTTTGACGACGTCATTTATACTGGCTAATCCGACGAAAAACATTCCCAGGCTTGGCGGAATAATATAATCTGCGAGTGGCAGATTCCGCAGCATTAATTTCCAAGAAGAAGTGTCATTTCCTGCGCGTAAATAATAATTTCAAAGCGGCGGCCTCATTACCCGCCGCTCTCTCTGCCATTTTGAGAAATCCGGCCGTGGTGTGCCACCCTCTGATAAGACGCCGAGGACGCGCCGGCACCGCGATAACGCAAAACAACAATGTTTTCTTCGCTCCGGTTGGCGGCGAAAAGTTTTCGGCTGCATTTTTTTTTTTGCTCTCCCCTGCTTTTTTTATTGCAGGTGGGGAAAATGGTTCCATCGATTCAATAGTTTGGCAATGGCCGGCTATTAATCTTGGTCGGTGCCGAAAAAGTTGCGCCACAACCGACTACTCCATGGAAAGTTGAATGAGTTATTGCCGCCGAGATGTGTGCCGTGCACCGCGGGAAGTGCGCGCACGTGAATTTTATTGCAGCCATTTGCCTAATGACGTTGCGGAAATGCACCGACATGCAGCGACGAAGCTTTGAAAACGTTTTTAATAAAAATTCATCGCGCAAAAAGTTTTATGAAACTCTGGTTGAGAAAATAAAGCTGTTTATTTCCGTCTAAATATTTAATATCTTGTGGAAAAGAGATTGGATTTTTTATGTAGGCCAAAATAGGGTCGTTTTTTTCTCATTGAATTTGCATGTGACGTCATTTTGATTTGAATTATGCAAATATTTCTTCGTTCCACTCAAGATATCGCAGCTGAATTTTTTATTATTCATAATTAGAAGGGAGATGTTTTTGATGAGTTTTTAGTTTCCCAAGAAGAGTGGACTACTTTATTTTTTATTTTTAGTTGCGTTTCCTTATAAGAAAAGGCTCACTGGTGGGGTCTTTATGATCTCGGAAGTTTTAGCAATATTCTTGCTAGTGGTGGTGCCGTTTTTCCAACAATTCCTTTCTTTTCGAATTATTTTTCAAACATTGAATGTAATTGTAGCATTGTGAACAAATAAACAATAAAGTATAAATAATAAATTATTTAACTTTCAAAGTCAATGTTTGAAACTCTTATTGATATTTTCAAAATTATTTTTTTTTAGAATATTTATATACATAATTCCTTTTCTAATAAATTTCAGGAGTTACTTGTTTGCAAAATTTCCCATGCGAAGTTTTTTCTAATTTTCTTTATGGATGTGAATAACTTTTTTTAATTTCAGTCCAAAAAATATTGCCCAAAAAGCAGTACATGCAATGTTTTACACGACAATAATATAAGACGAAATTCGCATCAAATCCGACAAAACTACACAAAAGTTTAACTTGTATTACCGATTAATAATTTATTCAGATCAAATTGAGTGCTTAATTTAGAAACATTTTTTCCTCTTCTAATTAAATTGATGGTTGTTATGAACTTATTCAAAACCTTTTTCTCTCCAATTACTGATTAAAAATACCCCTGATGAAAGATCAATAAGTAACTTTTCCTCTCTCTTGATGCTGGAAATAATGAAGCCGACCAAGAACTGACGGTGAGAGTGGAAAACTCCGAGCCCATCGTCGTCGTTATTTCAATCAACCCACTTTTATATGTAATATTTGTGAGTAATCGGACGGGCGTCGGAAGAATAACATACAGCGGAAAAAAACACCCCTCTTGATATATTTACTGCAAAAGCGGTGGGAAAAACAAGCCATTAAATCGAGCTCTCGCGCGGAACTTGCATGGCGATTTCCAATCCAAAAACATATTATTCATCCGCAGCACACGCTGCCGCGGGAGCAGATCAATAATATATAAAAACGTGTTTGTATATTTGCTTTGCTCCCTCTCCTCGTCAGCGGCGTGTCGATAAGATCTAAATTATTCGTGGTGGAACAGAAAACGAAGACAAAAACAAGACTAGAGAGTTGGTGAAGCCGGATTGCCATGAATTAATTATACCAAAAATAATGCAAATGGATTACAAAACTGCGGTTTCTATGAAAATATTTACAAGAGATAAAAAAAAATTACAAATAAGGCAAAAGCAACATAAACGACACGATTTTTGTTTGTTTAATTTTTAACCCTTGATGTCACTAAAATAACATTAAAAATAAAATTTATTTGCAAAATTGCTGCCCTTTTCGGTGCATTGTTTAACGATTTTGAGATAAATTTTTGATATTTGATAATATAAGTAGAAAATAATTATTGATATAAAATTGCAGTACAATCAGCTGTATACATTAACATTAAATGATAATTAGAGAATCAGTGAACCAGATAAAATTTTCGTCCAGACATCTACATTGTCTCATGCAAGACATTGTCCTCTTTGGAGGACTTTTCAAAATCAATCCCACACTTTAGATCTGCCTGTGACCAATGAAATTCTTGATAAGACCATCAAGTTAAGAGTCCATTGGCCACTTGTAATTGTTAATATTTCAGATCATAAATGAAATAATTTGGCCAAAGGTCACATTGATAAAATGTAAAAATTAAATAACCATTATGTAATTTAGAAAATACTACAAATGTTCCTCAAAAATTGATTAGATGAAAATTTAACTACATCTGGCTAAAATAATTTCAACAAATTTATTTTAGTTTTCAAACAATTATTATGCAGTTAAAATATATCATTTAATCTTTTTATTTTAATCATAATCTCCATATAAAAACTAGACTCGACCTTGTGTCCATTTTTATCATCAGCTGAGGAGATCACGCACCACGCGTCAACCACGAGAGAGAGGAGCCGACAATCACGCACCAGCCACTTTCCAGATCAGGGAGGCGCGACACCGATGTTGCTTCAAATTATCTATACATGCGTGTAAATTTGTGTAATCACAGGCACGTGGAGGCCGGACGGGAAAGCGAACCGTTGATTATCTGTCCACTCGTGCGCTTTTCTGAAAGCCACCTTTGCACACTGAATAAAAATCAAAATCTAATCGCGATCAAAATTTGAGTATAAAACCCCGAGAGCCGAATTGAGATTGATCAAAGGCAAATTCGACTTTGAGACGTCAAAATGCGAGGCTGCATCTTGATCGTGCTGGTGGCCGCTGCCCTCGGCTCGGCCTCCAAGGTGGACTTTGCGAAATTGCCAGCGCAATTCAATCACTTCCTGGAGACGAAAATCAAAACGCCAGAATTTGAAGGGGTTCTCGATCTGATCAGGCAGAAGAAAATTAAGCCCTACAGCAGTAAAAGCGATATGTACGACATGAAACTCTTTGATGGAATGGACGATGATTCAATTGCAAAGGTTGGTATATTTTTTGAAATTTTCAATTCAGACTCGATCAAAATGTCAAATTCAAAATTTCAATATTTTCGTTTGATCGGAAATTTTTAAAAAGAAATTTACTATTTTGAGAAACGTAATATTACAAATTGAACAAAATTTTTAGGATTATATGGGATTATATATATCATTTCATACTAACAAAAATTTAATTTAATGCAATGACAATTATTGAAAAGTTAAATTTTGAAAAAAAAATTCACCAAAGGATAGAAAATTTACTTAGGGTTCTTTCTCTGATGATATTAATTAATCACAGGCTGATTGTGCATTATGTGCATCGATTGTTGACACTTATTTTTCCTGGGTGGACGCCGGGGACAGTCGAGATGAAATTATTAGAAAGTACACAGACTTGTGCATTGAGCTCAACCTGAGCAGCCCCTATGTGTGCCGAACCGCTGCTGAGCAGAAAGTGGTGCGTGTTTTCAAACCATACGATTTAAAAGTATTTCTGTCATTTTAAAATTTAAAAAAAAAGGACGTAGCTGTTTTCATCTACAAGTCCAAAAAGGACACATGGAACCCGTTGACGGCCAGCGACGTGTGCATGTTTGACCACTTTAAGACCTGCTGGGTGGACAACCCGAAATTCGATTGGGAGCTCGATCTCAGTCCTTACGGCGCCAAACCCACCCCCATAAAGCCACAACTGCCCGCCGTGAGTGACACGTTTATTTTTTTTTTGCAATTTAAAATAAGTTTTGAAAATGGTTAAATTGGCAGGCGGGCTCACCGACCCTGAGGGTTCTCCACTTCACAGACCTGCACCTTGACAGCTCTTACAAGCCAGGCAACAACGCCAACTGCGGCGAAGAATTGTGCTGCAGGACCGAACACGGTCTGGCACCCAACAAAGGGGACGAGGCCGGATACTGGGGCGACTACAGAGACTGCGACATGCCCTACCACTCGTTTGAAAATCTAGTCGAGCAGGCCAGCTCTCACAATGTAAGATATGAATTAATGTTTTTCAACCTGCAACAAATGAGAAGGAAAATTCCTGAAAATTTTCTAAAAAAAAATTAATTCTAAATTGAAGAAATTGTACAACGACTCAACGAGATTGCTTTTTTTCATTTAATTACATAATAGAAACTCATAACGTTTGAAAAAGTTGTATCAATATTATTATGATTATTACCGTGAGATCAATTTTTTTTTTCATTTAGGATATCGATTACGTCTTGTTCACCGGTGATGTTTACGACCACGGTGACGTGAATACCACCCAAGCTGCAAAAAAAGCCGCCACCATATACGCCTTGACTCTGTTCCGTGAGAAATTCCCAAACCTCAAAGTTTTCCCTGTTTTAGGAAATCACGCACCACACCCGAAAAACATGTAAATTTATTATAGAGCAAATTAAAGTTTCACTCAACTAAATTCTTAATTCCCCTTTCCAGTTTCTCCTTTGACTCGCCTGACATCCCGACTGAAATCTCCACCAATTGGCTTTACTCGTTCGTGAACGACGTCTGGAGCTGGTGGATTCCAAACGCCAACGAGACTATCCTCAAGGGTGGATTCTACTCGTACGAATTATATCCCGGACTCAAAGTGATCGGACTCAACACTCTTTTCTGCTACAACAACAATTGGTGAGGAAAAAAACGAAGACCTTATCCTTATTGGCATGGTCAAATTAAGTCTTGATAACAATATGAGCAATTTTTGACCATTATTAGACAAAAATTAAACATCCATTTTTGCATAGACTTGATTGATTTTTGCGATTTTTCAATCTCATTATAAATAAAATCAAATTATATCCAAAAATCTTATTTGATGTATGCAACTTGCATGACACATTTACAAGGCAGGTTGCATCTTTGCAATTATTTTTATTGATTTCAACCTGGAAAAATTCACGTTCAAGGTGGTTGATGTACGACAACGTGGATCCGAGCGGGCAGCTGGCGTGGCTGGCGCAGGAGCTGAGCGCGTCCGAGCAGAAGGGTCAGAAGGTGCACATCTTGACGCACGTCGCCGGCTCCACCAAGTGCATGCCCTTCTGGCAAAAGCAATTCCTGCGTTTGCTCGACAGGTTCGAGAACACGGTGAGCGCCATGTTCTACGGACACACGCATCAGGAGCAGTTCGCCGTCTACTACGACCCCAACGACAGCGAGAGACCAACGCAGGTCAGCTTTGTTGGCGGCAGCGTCACCCCCTACAGCAACGTCAACCCCAACTACAGAATTTACGAAGTTGACGGCGACTACCAAGGCTCCACTTACGTAAGTTAACTGCACGTTTAGTTTTAGTGTTTAAATGTTAAATTTCTGGTCAAGTGAAAAAGTTCCTTTTAATAAAAAAGGGTGACTTTTAGATACTCAAATCTGAAGAAAAAAATCTCAGAAATTTTTATTAAATATTTCAATTTTCCATTTCAAAAAAGGTAAAATTAAATTTAAGAATATATTTTTGTTCTTAAATTTATTTTCCAACCAAGAACTATTTGTGAAATTAATTCACAAATTTTGTTATGTATGAAATCTTTCAATAATCAAAATGTAATTTAGATAACGAAAAATATTTACTTTTCCGGCCCGAGTCTTATTATAATACTTTTATTTTTATTATGACAGAGAGTTTTGGACTATGAAACTTGGTCGTACAACTTGACCGAAGCCAATCTCGGTGGGCCAAGCGTACTGCCCAACTGGAGGAAACTGTACAACTTCAAGGACACCTTCAGGGTGTATTCGCTCTTTCCAGAAGATATGGACGCTTTTGTAAAGAGAATGATAATCGACGACGACCTCACCAAACTCTACTATAGGTAATAGGAGAGCTTCAAAGTGAACAAAAAATTGCAAATTTAAATTGTGAATTGCAGATACTACTGGACGGACAGTGACTTTGTTGTAGTTGATCCTTGTGGAAGCAACTGCAGGCCGGAACTTATTTGCGAAACGGTCATGACTGTTCAGCAAGACACAAGTAAGTGCGACGAATTGGGAATTCCCATCAAGAGGAGCGCAAAACGCAATGATTGAAAGATATTTCATTGCAAAATTTGGACTGTGATTTTACAAGTGAAAAAAGAATTATTTTTGTTTCATTCTTATTAAAAAAAAATTGTGGATTATAAACAAGACCAAATAATCAAAAAACCACAAGTTGTTGAGAAAAATAATAATTATTTATTTATTTTTACTATGTAAAAATGTGATGAAAAATTAAAAATTAATCTTTCAGAAATTATAACTTATTCTTTGCAAAATTTATAACGATCCCTAGAAGAGTTTTAAAAAAGTGTTTAAAAAAGGAAGTACGATGAAAATTAAATTAAAGACCATAAATGGTTTACTATATACCAAATATATACTTCTAAAAAATACGATTAAGGAAATATTTTTTTTAATCATATTTTTAGAACGAATACATAAAACGTAAATTTTGCTAAAATTTCTGGCGTTATTTCCACTTAAGTTTTGAAACAAGTGATTTTCGGAAAACTTGATAAAGTTGTAAGTTCTGAGCCGGCCAAATCAAGTCTCAGAGTCAAATTGGCGCCATATAGTATCCATCGGGCGCCATTCAAGTTGCATGAAACCAAAATAGAATCACGAATCAATAGGCGCGTGTTTAAATATGCATGGCCGTGAGCGTTTCTCGTCAGAACACACATGCATGTGCAAGTTCTTTCTCTCTGGGATTTATTAGCAATTCATTGCTGTTCATCGGTTGCTGCCTGTCCCCCATGACTCTGACATTTTCCGACATAAACATTTTATTTGGTCTGCGATTGGACCATAGTGACTTTTCTCGAATAAACTGGAATATTGATGTACATAATTTTGATGTATCTTTTTCATCACTTATTTATTACGCAAATGATGAACTTATTCACTTTTTTTAGCAGAGAATTTTCCCCGAGAGGGGAGAGTGTCGATAAAATCGATTTGTAATATTTCGCCGTCCTCTTTCCTAGTTCCAAAATTATTGTTTTTTTTTTTCATAAAGATTATTAAGCTCACATTTTGCAATTTCCCTTATTTTAAAATTGATTTGTGGTTCAAAAAAATTATAAAAATGATCAAAATTTGAGGAAATGAAAAATAAAATTCAGCCTTGAATGAATTATCTGTCAAATAAGATTGAAAAAGCTTTTCAAAATAATCTCTCTTTGTTTGTTTAAGAAAATGCAATTTTACAACAATATTTATCTTGCCAGAGAAGAGATTTTTAGGAGCCGCAAGGATTTTTAACTGACGTCAGCAAACCCACACGAGAATCCTTTGGAAAATCGAATTAATGACCTCTGCCCTTCTGATTTGCATATGACGGCAGCAGAGAGACGTGACATACGAATGGTTTTTCCACGGCTGAAAATTATTTTCGATCGTGGCGGTCGTGTATTCATTTTCAAATGTCTCCAATAAGTCGAGTTAAAAATGAACGCAATTATAATATTTTGATTTAATTGTTTCATGAAATTTATCTAGAATTTTTAAGTAATATTTTACGTTTGAGAAGGTATTATATTATTTATGTTAAATTAAAGTGTACGAGTTCAATTCTCAGAGATCAAATATTGTAAATTTTGTAGAAAATATTTCGGTTCCAATGTAATTTAAAATTTAGAAAAGAAGGATAAAGATTCAAGTTTTTTCCATCTTTAAAATGTCAAATGTCCTTTTTTCCAATCGCATAATTCTAACATTTTTCACGAACCAAATTTGAGTAGACAAAAATGATCCTTACCGTGTCATCATTGTGCAGCGTTTCGTTGACGGCAGCCGCGTTGCCGAAGAACGAGTCGGCCTTCTGGTCCTTCCAGCCGACCAACGGCGGGAAACAGATGACGAATGAAAGCACCCACACCCCGGCGATGAGCAACTTGGCTCTGCCAGGACTCATCAGGGTCGGGTAGGAAACGGGTCGCGTCACAGCAAGGTACCGATCCAGCGAGATTGCACACAAGTTCAGAATGGACGCCGTGCACATCCACACGTCCACCGCCAACCAGATGGAACACCACGTGTCTCCAAACAGCCACACCTGAGGACAATATTGTTGAAATTTATTTTTAATAAATGTAATGAATTATGATTGAAAAGCTAGAAAAATTGATTGAGATAAATTTAATTTAGGAAAAAATGTAGAATTATACTCAATAATTCTGATTTCTTAAATTAAAATTAATTAAAGATTTTAAACCCTAAATATGTTAGCGAAATTCCACACTTTCATCCTAATGCAATATCTCTTGAGAACCTTAATTGAAGAAACTTACATGGGAATGCGCGAATCACTCTACTAAATTAATTAACTAATGTACCTTTTGCGACCGCACTCAATAAAATTACCACACTCCACATGTCCCGAATAACATTCAAAGCTGTTAAGATACAATTTCTATAATATGGGCATTGAATAACTCCATGTTGGATGATAATGTGATTGTAGGAAATTAATAAATTATTTGGTGTAATTTGTGAAAGAAAAAGCCAATAAACAATGCGGCAACTTTCAAAATAAATTTTATGATAAGATGTCTTTACAAGATGTGTATTTTTAAATTGGAATCAGACTAAATATAATAAAAAAAGCAGATAAACAATTATCATGAATTTAATTTATCCAAAATGCTACTGTCTAAAAATTTTCAGCTGAAACGAAATTTTTTATTTTTAAATATAAAAATAAACCAATGGAATAAAATTTAATTTAAATTTTAAGGCTAGTTGAGATAATTAATCAACCTTAATAATATATTTCAATAAATTTTACTTTTAATTTTTTTATAAAGTGTCGTGAAAAGTAATTTTTATAATAAAAGATTATTTGAGTGTTAAAAAAAGAAATTTCGCTGATCTCTTATTTATTCATTTTTTTTCTTTTGATCTAAAAATTGGAATTCGCTTTTAATGATAATACGAAACAGAGTAGCCGAATCTTTTATGCTAATTTGTGCAAAGTCATCAGAGCGGATGAAGCAATTTAGCCGTGCTTATGGACTCTTTAATCCCGGAAAAAACGAGCCACGCTCCATTGCAAAAACGATTGCCCGCCGAGTCGTGTATAATTTTCACATTTTTAAGCCACTTTGCAAGATATGAGCGAGGCCCAGAAAAGCGCTTCATAAGCGCCTAATCCAAATGAGCAGAACAAACACTCGCCGCGAGGAGGCGAGGGCCGTGCCAAAAGTGGCGATTCGCAGCCCTCAAGAGAGGTTGTGCCTCCCTCTGCAGACTTTATTTTTTTTTATTCATATACACTTGGCAAATGGAGCGTGCGAAGAAAGAAAAATCAGCGCTTTTACTCGGAATAATATGATGCAGTCACGCTTGGTGTTTCGAACGTTGTTCGTACCAAATGCGGCACATTACTGCGATAAGCGCTGCCAGCTCACGCCGTTCGGTTATAGTTGCTTTTTGTCGGCAGAAAAACACGGCGACCAGTTTAAATAAATCATCCCTCTCGTGCCGTGTTTTGCCCCTACGTGAACTTTACAACATTATCAATTTGTGCGCCGTTTGATTGCGGTATAATTGCAGCAGAACGACCACGCGCTTGAGGCTGCGATCCCGGGCTAGTGGTTTTTGAGTGGGTAGTGTTTTGATTCGTTCGATCTGACCAAATGTTATAAAAACTTTCGTGAAAATCGTCATGTAAAATCTGAAATAATATGACCAGAGCTATTTTTTAATTTCAAAATACAAAACGAAATAAATACAAAAGTAACAGCATCCATTTGCAATATTTATTTTTAACGTAAATTGATGGATATTTTTTAAAGCTCATCCTTGTTTTTTTTTTATGTAAATTCATCATAAAACAGAAGCAAATTTATGGATTATTAGAAGTTGGAAAAATCTACTTACATTTTAATTTTTTAGTTACAGGTAAGATTAAAAAATATTAAAAATATAAAGATACTGAGCGGTTGATTAAGCGCGTAAAAACTGCATTTCATTTTTACCAACCAACCATGAAAGATCCGTTAAAAAAATCTTTAATATTGTCAGCATTCTTTAGGTTCTTGAAATAAAAAATGGCGTCTTGTCGCGTCTTTCAACAGCTTTTTGTTTGAGAATTTTTCCCTTTATAGACTGCAAGATAATCACTACGAAGTAAAAGTTTTAATTTATAATAATTATAAAAAAAAATATTGAGACACAGTCATTATTTATTTATTTATTTATTTATAAATTTTCCTATCGCACACTTATTTCTGATTCTAAATTGTACAAATGTAAGTATGTCGCACTTCAGCAACTATTCAAGCAATTAAATCCTCTGGAGATGTGATTCTTTAATAACACAAGGCCGCGCTTTTAAAAGAGCCGACGTGCGTCAGGAGCTTTGGATTTAGACTTGCGGCACTTTCAACAACTCTCACAAGTTCAAGTTTGTAATTAAACGCGCTGAGAATTGCCAGCAAAAGAAGTTTCGAGTGCAAAGATGGCAAAATTCTCATTGAATATTTTGATTGAAAACACAGATGTTCTTCTCTTAAGAACTCGCCATTCTTGTATTTTCCCAAAGAGATGTTTCCAGAAGTTCATGTAAAATTTACTTTTGAATTATGCAAATTGAATAAGACAGTTAAAAAGGGGAAAACAGTATTCCCGCCATAACAGGAGGCTTTACAAATTAAACGAGCGCATTTAAAGATACGAGCCAAATTTTAATTGAAAATTACGTGAAAGCTTTTATTAGCGTTTTCAGTTTTCTCTTGTTATGTTTTCATAGGAGATTATATTAAAAACAGCACATTTGAAATTTAATGGATGGTAAATTCAACTAAACAACAGTACAACACATCAGCACTCAGCATACTTCATTTACGATTTGGGAAAATATGGCACTCAATGTGAGTACGAATGTGTTTTAATAAAATTTTATAAAATTAAAGTGACTGAAATTTGTTAAAATGGCTATTAAAGTTTTAATAAAATAAATGTATGTAAAAATTATAAAATTTAATAATAAATTAATAAATAAGAAATAAAATTAATTGTAATTTTAAAAGTTTAAATTGTATAGAAAAAAAACGATATTTTTAAATTTAGAAACTGGCATTAAAAATTAATTAATAAATACAAAAGCACTAATTATACTTTTTTATTTTCTATAATTAACGATTTAAATAAATATCTTTCTTAAAATTTTGTTACATAAATCAATCCGTTTGATTTAAATTTTCAGTTAGTATTTAATAATCGGAAGACGAGTTTTAATTGATCTGCAGAGAACACAATCATAGTTTCCTGAGCCTGATTTATCGTGGCAAATTTTCCTGGTTTGAACGCCAGAATTTCCCGTCAAACTCAACCCCGGACACAGTTGACGAAATTGAAAGGAGAAACTATTTAAAAAATTTTAATACGATTGGCACTGACCTTGAAGACCTCGAGGGCCGAGCTGAAGGGCAAGACGGCGAGTCCGACGAGCAGGTCGGCGACGGCCAGCGACACGATGAAGAGGTTGGTGACGGTGCGCAGCTTGGAGCTGATGAAGACGGCGGCAATGACGAGGCAGTTGCCCAGCACGACCATCACGTCGACGACGGCGAGCACGACGAGCGGCGCCAACACGGCCACCCCCTGCCACACCACGGCCTCTCGCAGCGCCTCGCACGCGCTCGCGTTCATCCTGCTGCCATCCGAGGCGGAGGCCTGGCCCGCTCTGGCCCCCGGCCGCCGCCGCCGCCGCTTCGCCGCCCCCGGCGCACGCGCCCCCGCACCTGCAACACACAAACTCACACTCACTCACTGCCGCTGAGCCTCTCCTCCCGCCGAGTACCCCTTTCGCTTTCGTGCATTAAGAGTTCATTCTGCCTACAATCCGAGTCATTCTCATCCATCACCCAATTGAATTTTTTTAGAAAAATAAGCTTTCAAAGAATACAAAATGATAATTTTAATAAATTTCTTTTAAATTGTCAAAAATGATGGAAAAATTCTGTTTGAAATCTTTTTTATGATTAGTTTAAAACAAAATTATTAGAAACTTCAGTACTAAATTTAGTTTTGTTAAAAACGTCAATTAATTTAAAAAAATCAAACCTGAGGAATTTATGACCGGCCAGCAGCCTCAAATTTTGCTATAATGTGTTTTTCTTATAACAAAAAAATGTTTCTTCATTCTCGGTAGTTGGAAAAAGGCTTTTAAATTATTTAAAAGGACTGTTCATTACCATTTTTCAAACCTTAATTTTGAATCAGTGCATTCTTAAATTTTCAGAACAAAAAATTTCAAAATATGAAATCTCAAATTTTATATCCATATTGTGTAGAATTTGAAATTTAATTGTTTTGAAAAAATAATATTTTATACGTTTTTCAATACTTAAATTGAAAAACATTCGTTTGTAAATGACCGTACCTGTGACTTTTTCAACTAAAATTTTATAATTTTTGTTGTTTATTTTTCCAATTGTTGCATTACATCTTTTAAATAATATGTTTGAAAATAATTGGTTTGAGAACAAAGTACTGATGAAAAAAGAGGCACCACCACTAATTTTTTTCTAAAACTTTCAAGATTAAACTCTATCCGCTGCATTGATTATTTTACGATATTGATTACATCGTTTTTTAATGGTTGTTTATGGCGAAAAAAATATCTTCAAAGACTCAGTATTATGGAAACTGATTAACACGGTTTGTTTAAACTATTTTATAACAATAAATTCATTTTCTTCTGACAGCAAAAAAAAACATTTATGCGTCTTGAAAATAAAACTGTTCAAATAAAGCAATTTTGAATACAATATTCACCTTTTCAAGGAAGATGGATTTGCATAAAGCATTATTTGGCGGAAAATGCAAAGAATGTCTACAATGATTTTGTTTTGTGTTCTGACAATAGCAGATTTATTCAACTTGGGAGAACTACGGTGTAAAAATTGTCCCGAAGCACCTGCTTTGCTTACGTCTCGCAAAAGCAATCGGAAAAAAATCTTTCAGCCACGCTTTCTTCATCCTACACTTTCACGAGTACAAAAGGGGCGAGCTATTTTTGTCGTCGCGCCTCCCACACCTGCCTCGCGGAGCCCGAGTATGCAACCCGTGCAACTTTGGCGACAAACCGGTTGCATATTTCACGAAAGCGCAAACGCTAAGTGGATGTGCAGTGGCGGAGAAAAACAGAGTCACTGCATTCGGTTGCGCAACGAGGCGTCATTGCGATGCAAAGTAATCTGTGCAATTTACTTGATTAATGAGGAAAGTTGCGGCTGATTTTGAAGAGAGCGTTTCATCAATGAGGAGAAGGAATTGAGTTTATTTTGAAGTGGGTAGAGCTGCTTCATTTAAATTCTTGAAGCTTATCCTTCAAAGACGCTCTTATTGCGCTACTTTTTTTCAAATCCGATTTTACAGCGTAATCAGCAAACTGCACTAGATCATGAGTTGAAATGTAATTTTGCTTTATAATAAAATAGCAAAAAGAACGAAAATAAATCAACTTTATACAATTATAGTTTAAGATATAAGATATTTAAGAAAATGTAAGAGATCCAGACGTTAATCAATAATTGTAAATATTAATGAAAATTATTTAATAATACCTTTATATTAAGAAAAAAAATTTTTTTTAACATTTTATAAATTATATTGAAGCAGTGTTTTCAGTTTTCAGTTACATAAATTTAAAATTTCCATCCACATAGATTACAAAATTTAAAATTTTGTAATCTATGTGGATTGTTTAGAACGTTTAAATTAATTTTGTCATTTTTCATTCTTTTAACTTTAATATTCTCCCGCACAGTTTCTCATTTCAAATTATTATTAAATTAGATTTCTTAAGATCCTGTAGAGAAACTTGCCTTATAAAAAAGTCTAAAACTCGTTCAAAAATGTAAATTTTTAATGTGGTTTTTAAGTATTACCATGGAGTATAGTTTCGTTACATTTACAAAGTCAAGATAACATTTTGTTAGGGGCTTGTTGATCAGCATCTGCGTGATCTATCAGGTTATGAATTTTATTAGAGGCAGCAAATAATAGCGATCGAATTTGGGCAAAGTGCGTCAGCAGCGAGTCGGCGGCGGAACAAGCTGTCCCTTCTTGCGCCGCAATCTTTCTGGCCATCAGTTGGGAAAAGGAATAAAAAATTTACACTTGACGGCGGAGCAAGGAGGAGAGCTCTGTGTGTCTCTCGGCGGGCTCTTCATCACGTTCCTGCCTCTTTGTCACAAGGGCTGCCTCTCTACGGGGTGAATTTTTATCATCGCACCCTGCGTCTGCCCCCGACCGCCCCCGCCGGGCTTCATTTGTAGGTCAATTGTGTCGCACGCGGGAGAGCGAGCGACCGGATTTGCTACTTTTTTTTGGCGAAACAGGTGCACTATTGCTTTGTTCCGCCACCCCCTGCGATTTCCAGCCCTGTCACGCCGCTGACTGATGAATAGGACTGTCGTTAAAGTGAGGTTCCTTTGACGCCGCGCCTCTTTAAGGTGGCTGCGCTCTTTGTTTTTGGTGTAAGCGGATCGCAAAAATCTGCACCGAATTCGACTGCTTTACCTGATAGCGCAAGACAATGGCATTATTTTTCTTTTATTTTGGTATGATGATCACTTTCCTTTCTGGATGGGGAAAAATAAGTTTTGTATTCAGAGAGACAAGCTGCTTTCTCTGAAGTTTTTTTCATTATAGGAGAAAATTGAGATCCCTGACTCCTGTCAAGGGACAAGATGGTTTCATTAATCAATGAGGTTTTAAACCTCCATTCTCAATCACTCTTTCTCTCCCTTATCAATCTCCATCCTTCCTATTACTTTCCTATAAAGAGATTTCTACCTCCGGCCTACTTTCCATTGGATTTATTCAGGAAAATTTTGAAAAATTAATTAAAATATGAAATATATCGGTAACTTTAATCCCAATAGTATCAGGACACTGATGCATGGTGCATAATTTTAGATGTCTCTTGTAAATATTTAATTTTTCAGATGAAAGTATTATTGAATGCATATAATTGATAAATAATAAGCTTTGTAACGTGTTTTAGCTTAAATCATTACACAAAGGAAACAATGTGAAAAATTTCAGTGTGAGCCAAAATCCAAAATAAATTTTGCTTTAAATAGATTCAAATTCATCATTCATTTACTTTTTATCAAATCGGCTCCATTATTTTATGATATTATTATTTCATTGTAAATAATGATAAACGCTTTGTAAAAATTTTTAATGCTCCTCAAAAAGAAATAAAAACTAAATAAACAAAAAAGCTGAACTTAATTAATACATTTTCTTCAATATATAAATTATAACGTTTCTATTTTCTTTTTGCAAATCAAAAATTAGTCTCGACATTTCTCACCACAAAACGTGGTTGCTGAATCTGCCAGCAAATAATAACAAAGATCGCGTTCTGCGTTTCTGCTGTCGGTTGTGCCAGCTATTTTTGTGCTTTGTTTCTCTCACAAATGATTCATACTCGACTCCTGCTGGAGAAAGCATCAAGAGAGAGTGACCTTCTTGCTCTAGGCGGATATATTTTGCTCAGTCCGAGCACGCAAGCAAACCGTCCCAACATGCACATGATCCAGATTTCATTCGTTCGGCTAGCTCGCATGCACCCTCAAACCAGCGAGACACGAAAATGTCTATGTCATACATATAATGCGCTGCTTTTCTTTTTGCTCCTCGTTGAATGCGGAATCAGAGCGAGAGGGAAATATATTTTCTCACAAAATTGCGTTCGGGTGACGGCAGAGCCTGCGGTGATCTCTGGCAAGAGAGACACCCCAAAATGGGAAAAGTTCGTGAAATGATTTCCTCCGAAGGATTTTTATTTGACTTTTCACTTTCTAAAAAACAGCAATTTTTCTGATTAACTGTTTTACAAGAGGTAATAATTCAGCTCTTAAGTTTTCATAAAAGTAGAAGTAAATCAAGTTATTTAATATTAAATTTTGAAATTTTCCACTCAAGAAAACAAATAATTATAAAATGAATCTTAACTTAATTGCCATTTTATTTCCTATTTCAAGATAAAATTAAACTTTGTATATGGAAGAGTTGACTCTTGAAAGTAAACTTACTTTGGTCAAGAAAATATATTTTTCATCAGTTCCTCTCAGCGCATGAGAAGGTAGGTAAATAATTGAATTCAATTAATCGATGCTCCAGCGACCTGGAACTTCTTCCAAAGTTCCATTCCCTTCTTCGTAATTTGTACTCTTGCTTCACAGACGCGGATTCTTTAGCCTTCGAAACTTCGCCTGAAGGGGAAAAGCGCTCGCAGTTTAAGAAATATCAAAGTTCGCCGCCCCCATCGCGGCAGAGCTGCGTAAGCATCACGCGCTGCACGAGGAACGCAAACACGCAGAAAGTAAAACAAGAAACGTTAGGATTGCTCGCCAGCAAAAGGAGCAATGCCGTGTTCTATTTGAATTGTAATTCGCGGAATGAGCGGTGCGGCATTTCAGCGCAACAGGTTCCTCGTAAAAAACTTTCACGGCCGCCTCGACTACTAGAACATTCACAACACCAAAGCGAGGGTGGACGTCGTAAGAAAAAATTGAAACATTCTTAGCAATAAAGATGAAAAATCTTATCTTCTGTCTTGGAATCAATCAAAATCAAATTTTATAACACAAAATTGTTATAAAATCTCAGATTCAGGGCGTATTAGTTATTTTAAATGTATAGAAAGTGGGCTGGAATCTTAATATTCTGATTTCTGATTTACTATAGTAAAGTAAATTCTAAATTTTTTTTTAAAAAAAAA